CATCAATTTTGCATACTTATAACTGTTTTATTATTTTTTTTTTAATATTTAGCGGAAACTTATAACAGCAAAACATGCAGTCGTCATAGCAGCAGTAATTTGGAAGTGGCCAACAATCGTCAGCAGTTACATGAAAGCAACTTTTGAAAAGATCTATATATAAGTCGAAAAAACGCAATCAAATTTTGCAAAGTTGTAAGAAAACTGAATTTTCGTGAACCAGTATAAATGATTTGCAACTGTTAATATATATTAAAAGAAAGGTAGACCGATTATAATATTGTTAAAATCGCTTAACTTTTTTATAGAAATTTTGCAACTTTTGAAAAGATCTATATGCAAATGAGTAATACTAATAATAAGAAATTAAGCAACCACATATGTATGTATGTAAAAATATATTTATTAATGTTAATTACAATTTTTATTCATAATATTGATTATTAACTATGTATATTAGGTAAACAATGCATTTTGAAAATAAATTTTGCAAAAAATCAAAAAAATTTAGGATTTTTTAATTAGTTTCTAAGGTTATTTTGAATTCGCTGTGGAGATAATGCAACCCTGCGCTGGCTGAAGGGGGCAATGCTAGACGAGTGCAGCTATGTTTGCCTTACGAAGTATCTGAATGAGTGCGACAGTGACTCACGTACAGGGGGAAAGTGGTGACAATCTTCACACCGCCCATACAAATGTCACCAGTTTTGAAGTGACCGAAACCCGCGGTTTCACCAGATTTTTCACTACTTTTGGCTGGCAGGGTATTTGACTAAATATATGTGAATATGTGTATGTATATAAATGCACAGACTTACGATTTTCCCTTGATTCTTCTAATTTTTCTGGTATACAAGGATTCCACCGATGATGTGCGCATGCCGATGTTATGTGTTCGCGGCTGAATACAGGTTGCCAATCTTTGAGACTCCCCCGATGTGCGAACGTTCATTACTGCAAATTGAATATGCCGGAATCCAGTCCCACGGTGAGCGCTAGTGCTTAGATGGGCGCTTGTTGACGGATTCTTTGAGGTGGGAGTAGTCCCGCGTTGGGCGCTGAATTTTTGCGAGCGCCTGTAGCAAATATTCTTTCCTCCAAACGAACTGATTACTAAAAGGGAAATTTGTACTTTTCACTATATTCACTATAATTTACACTTTTGTGTCGTAACGATTCGCGTAAAGAATTATTTCCCCCGTTGCAGCGAGAAATTTCAAAATTTGTGTTGTTCACTGTTTCTGCTTGTAGAGATGTGCTTAGGTAATTGCTGTCCCGACAAAGAAAAAGAGATGATGTGAAAATGACAGCTACGGTCTAGTGTTGCGTAGCGTAGTTGGTGATGCCGGAGTTTTCGCGTTGCCAGCTTGCATAGATTGATTAGCTGTATGCGGTGCTGACAAATTCGGGTCCCAAGGACCATGTAAAATGGGGTAGTGTTTTGCTTTGGGTTTTATAGTTGATTTTAATTCAATTCAATATTGAATTGTAATTAACAAGTTTAACTTATATACTAAATGCATGAACAATGAATGAAATTATGAACAAGCGAATGGACTGTATGTAAATGGTTTTCAAAATGGATAGTACAATGATGGTTTCAATTCAATTTAAAGTTAGCACTACTTCATTAAATTCAGGTATAGTAGTAGTTAAGTTTAAATGTTTAGAAAGGTTTGAGTTTAAATATAAGAGAATAATTGATTGGTTTTACGTATATGCAGTTTCCCACGTCGATATGTTCGTTGTATATATAAAAGATGAATTCCCTCGTAGTTGTTGTTGTAGGAAAAGCTCCCTCGCTGTCTGACTTCCAGGTGATGATGATGTCATTAAAAGAAAAGGCCGATTTCAAATGCGATCGCTGTATTTATACCTACTCAACACTGGAAGGCACCCAGTGTCGAGTTCGAATGCAGACAGGGATGCTTCACAAAAGGAGTTTGCAGGGATGCTTTTCAATTGCAGTCGAAAGGGATGCCATTGCGATTTAAATGGACGCAGGTTCTTTAAACAATGTGTGTTTAATAAAACAGCAGTGAATTGTAAAATTTTTACGTATAGCAAAAGTTTAATGAAGTGTAGATTTTTTAGCGCTGAAAAAACCGAAAGTACTGAATTTGGGGAAACAAATCTGGCAACCCTATTCACACACGGCACTTACAGAAACTTTTTTACCCTGGAAATAGACTTGTTTACTCAAAAAGAAGAAAAATGAATGATTTAAACTTTTTCAAAGGTTTAGTACAATAACTAGCCAATGCCCGCTTGCTTCGCGGTGCCTAATAAGATCTTTTGCGTTGGCCAATACAAAAATAGCGTTTAAAAGCAAAATCGGTCTGTAAAGTAAAATTTTTTAATTTAAATTGAAACGAATTAGGAGCAGAATCCTCCTCACACATAGACCAAGAATAGTGGGGCTGTGATACCATATGGAATACTAATCCCTTTCGATGTCATGAGTTTTACCGATGGTCTTATTTGTACCTGTGAGATCTCTGCAACTTCAACATTGGTCCGCAAACCAATAAGCCAATAAAAGTCCTTATACGGAAACTAAAGAGCACAGATGAACGTTTTCAGTGATAGGAGGGTCAAGAATCCGATTAATAAATAAGACTTTTATAAGTAACTCTACTCCAGCGCCACCAGCTTGCTGTCTAGTAAGCTATAATAGGACCATATATGCAAGGTATAACCTCCGACAATTTGACTGGATTTTGAGTTTAGTCCGAACAACGATAACGGATATCATTTTATGTATGTATGTACAAATAAGTATGTTTCGAATGAAAAAAAAACCATCATGAAAGTAATAAACGTTTCGAATTTGCATTAACAAAATCGGTACATAAATAGGACTTTTATCGGGCCCGTTTTTCGCAAATGCTTTTTTCATCATGCAGGTAGCTTATACTTTGAATTTGAACGAAATCGGTTCATAAATATGACTTTTATAAATAACTCCACTCCCGCGACACCTAGCAGATCTATTTTAGGTAAACGCATTTTCCATCATGCTGGTACCTTACATTTTGAATTTAAAAGAAATCGGTTCATAAACACGATTTTTATAAATAACTCGACTCCAGCGCCACCTAGCGGGTTTATTTTTCGCATACGTATTTCTCATAATGGAGGTAGTATACGCTTTGATTTTCAACGAAATCGGTGCATAAATACGACTTTTATAAATAACTCAACCCCAGCGCCACCTAGCGAGTTTTCTGGTAGCCTATAATAGGACCATATATGCAAGGTATGACCTCTGAAAATTTGACTGAAATCTATGCAGTAGTTTTTGAGTAACTCCGAACAACGAAAACGGCTATTATTTTATTAACCGACTTCCAAAAAAGGAGGAGGTTATTAGTTCGTCGGAATATTTTTTTTTTTTTTTATGTATGTTACCGCATAACTTTGCACCACGTCAACCGATTTCAATAATTCTTTTTGCAACGGAAAGGTAGTGTCTCAGAGGTGGTCCCATACTAATTTGGTTTAGATCCGATCATTGGATCATAGATATATATATATACATATATTTTTAAGTCGTTTTTTTTGCTAAAAATTACTTGTATATATAGATATTTTCAGATCAAGAAAAGGAAAATAAGTGAAACACCCTACATTTGAAGTTAATTTTAAAGTTCAAGGTAATTTTTTTAACCAACGATATTATTTCTCCTGAGTTCTCCATCTTAAATCCTTTAGAATACCTTTACATTTATTTCCCTTCCAGTTCTGGTCTTCGAGATATTAGATTTTGTTACGAAAATAGAAGATTTCCACACTGTGCTGCGTAAGAAGTGAGTGAATCCCACTAAATCCTTTAGAATACTCTGAGATTAGTGCTGCGGTTTTCCAACGCTCTTTGAACAACTAACTGATTGGTTCTTTTGGTGGTCTCCCGTCTCATCTTGCAGTTTCTGTCGTAAATTATACTAAATTGCAGGACTGAACAATATTGGCATTGCCTACTATCGTTCTGAAAAAAGTAGGCGACGAAAATCGTCGAAAACTACCCAGTGCTGCCAAATTGTTCCCGTTTTAATACACTAGTCGAGCCGAAATTTTAGGCAATGCTAAGCAATTTTCGATATGACGCGACTCTCGAAAAACAGCTTGCACTCGACACGATACTCGCCATGTGGCTGATTATTACAAATTGCCGTTTCTTCGGAAGCATTTTCAGATATTTTTCAAGTTTGGATACACTGTGTTGAAAATTCGCAACGATACCAGCTATTCTAGAATATCTGGTGCTTCCCTGTTTAACAGAGATTTGCATTTTCTTCCCGCTTTTATACATATTCGTTTTTCGACCCATTTGCTATAAAAAGAATTGAATTAGAATAAGGAGGCGCCTTAGATGCATGCTGTGCAAAATATTAATTTATTTCCTTACTCTTGTCTTAAATTCATCAGTCTCACGACTATATCTTTAGATCTTTGCCGACTTAATGGAAAAAAGTCGTTCCAAACAGGATAATAATAAAAATATAGTAAAATCTGCAGTTGTAGAAATATAATGCTTATACACTAAGTATGCAATCATTAGCAACTCGAATTCAGTGAGTGCATTTTCATAAATTTAACGAAAATCGGACTACAATGGATTCAGTGATAGCCCTGAACAAATGTTTAATGTAAGCAAACGGAGGTTTCGCGGTGTATTCTGGAGCTATTGCAATACCATTCTTATTATTGAGAAAATCGCTATTAAAATTGAGGAGAGATAATTTATTTAAAAAAAAAACATTCTGAAGTATTTTAACAAAATGTGCGATTTACATTTAAAACTGCGATTTCCAATACCTAACATTATGTTTAAAAATAAACAGCTTTTCACTTTCAATAGTTTACATAATACTTTGTTATCTCCGAAGTACTTACATAAGCATTGTAAAAACCTTTATTTTTATACTAACCCACATTCTTCTGCATATCGTTTTCTTCAATGGGCATTTCTAACACATGTTTGAAAAAATGTGTGAATCTATATTTTTTTACGTTGACTTTATTTTTTCATATGAAATTATTCCAAAATAGATTTTATAGAAGATATTTTTACGGCTTTAATGTTTTTTATTATAATTATGTTATTACTTTTTTATTATTATTTCTAGTACCCGCAAGTAATCAGATAATCTCCAAGTTTCTCAACAACAGATGCAGCTTGTTGAGGCTGAACAGGATCCTCGTAAATCGAAACGATGACGGCTGCAAAGAGATAATAAATATAAAAAATGAAATTGCAGCGCTAAGATGTTGAAAGTTAATTTGACGATTCCCCAAAAATTAATTTTGGGAAGTCGTTGGTCGTCCATTTAAATCAGTGACGATAACACATACATATAGGCATGCTATGAATGGTCGCACCGTTTTGATTTGCTTAGACAAAAAAAATCTGCACTCTTACATCACACAACTGTTCAGCAAAGTACATACAGTAGACTGCATCACCAAAAAAAGTTGCGGGTTTTCGCCGGTATTACAAAATTTGTTAGATTTGAAGAGGTCCACGAAAATATTTCGGAAAAATATTACGATTTACGTGAGCTGGACCGATTTGAAAATACCTACAAAAATGGAGTTTTTTATAAATAAAAATAGTTTCTGAAAGAACTTTTTGAAAAAAATCCCCTCAGATGGCAAACCAGTTAAGTTTAAAAAATCTGCATAAACATTTTTTCAACGGAATCGTTTTAAAACAATTTTGTAAAGAATATCTGGATCTCGATCCAAAATGAGCCAAATTTAGTTCAGTTAAGAGACCGAGCTAGTGAACTAGTTCATTGAAATACATTAGGTATTTTGTTCATTTAGTTCAAGAACTACCCAAGCCTACTTTCCAGAAAGTGTGAAAAATTCTCTGTGTCTAGACTTTTGTGGTTGACTGTATATATTGGTCAGGGAATAACTGCCGCTCGCTATCATTAAATAATTGTTTTAATTCATAAGATTCTAAATAACACATCAAAGTTATTCAACATATGGGAGGTTCCATGGGAAACTGATCCTCAGTGCAAAAATTATTTTCTTTATAAAACTAACAAACGTGTGGGTAAGACAATTGTAAATATCTTGAATCAGCCAAAAAAATAACAAATTAAAGCTTTAAATGCATTTTTATTACCTTTTTTACGTTTTGAAATCAAGTTCTAAGTAAATTTTTTGAGTGAGTTTTAAGTAGATTGTGTTGAAAGTACTGTAAAATAATATAGTAGAACCTATCTGCTTTTAATAAAATTGTGTTATACATTAAATTGTGTGAGTGCTTTATATATATTATGAGTTATTATTAGGCAGTATTGGTCTTGTCCCCCCCGTGACAAAAAAAGCTAAAAGTTATTGTAGCAGCGGGGCGGGGGCAGCGCCGACTCCCCATTACTTATATACTTTTGTGGTCAGCTGATTAAGTTAAGTGACATTTTGACCAGTTTTGGTTTTTTTTTTGTTTTGTCTATTTAATGTTTATAGTGTTCTGATAAAAGTCTAGCTCATTACATAACGAGAACCACATAAATCCACGTTTCAAGCTTCATACAAAAATTATAAATATTCAACAAACTCTAACAATTACACCCAAAAATTTTAAACTTTTTGTTCAGAATTTTTAGAAAAATTCCAGGTATTCAGTTTTATTGCCCATTTAATTTAGGTACAGTTTACATATTAACATTTAATAAATCCAGTTGATAAATCACAACCGTCTCCATGGCCACAACGAGATATAATTGACGTTCACATTTTTAAATATTTGGCGTTTGCTTATGTATGATTTTATAAATACAGTTGCGGACATTGAAATACAGACAGATAAAAGAAAGGTACCAGTAGGGGATTTCATTATGTGAATTCTTAATATTATTGGCTTCTCATTCGTGGTAAATATGCATTATATGTAGTTTGAAAAATAGAACGAATGGTACAATATTCAGAATCATTTTCCCGAATTTAAGAAAATTTATCAAAACGGTAAAGAACAACACGTGCGGATAGAAAAGTTTGTAAAGAGCTGTTGGGAAAATAAACTCTCTTCTTCATAAGAGGGAACCGAAAATGCAATCGTGAGCCTTTGGCATATCATCAAGACCTAGCTAGCAAATATGATTGCCAATGCATTTCTTGAGTCGAATTGAGTTCTAAAGGATGTTTGGTGCAATGTTATCGAAGCAGATCCATTACCGAATTTTATAAATTTTATGTCGCAGCGCGTAAAAGATTTTTAGAAAGCGGGAAGGCTCTGCATATTTTCTGAATTTGTAGTTTTTAAAATAATATCTTCTAAATATATTACAACCAAAGTTGTATAAATACTAATAATTTGGTTTTAAAACTTACCAAAATATAAAAACGCCTATTAAAATAAAAATATTCATGTTTTTTTTTTTACTATGCTAGATTTCAATGTCCGCAACTGTATATTGAAAATACAAATGTCATTCGACTTATGGCATGTAAGTTTGTGGTTGCCACATTCAACAAATTATATTTAATGACCAATTTTATTGAAGATTTAACTCAAATCTACCGCCTTTCGAGATTTAATTTTATATGGTAAATCGCAAAAGATTTAACGTTAAATCTCGTCAGAGGGCATTCATTGAATCTTAGAATGGAGACATAGTATAAAGTGAAAATTTCAAGACGCTAGGAAATCGCGTTTATTTTTAATAATTTATTTTGCTGACGGCGCTAGGCATTTTCTTCTATATAAAAGGCACTATCATTAGATAAAACGTGAGTGAATTTAACCCCACTTGGCTTCTTATATTTTTTAACAACTAATGGACCCCACTAAAAGCTCCTTTTCATGTAAAAATTCGTATGTGTCCCACCTGTGACAGAGGAATTTCGGCTTTTCTTTTATAATATAGCCAGCTTTTGTTGTAGGTTTTGCTTAGTTTGTATTCGTGGTTCTTTGTTTTATTATAAGGCATCAAGTTCACACAGAAAAGTGAAATAAATTCGCAGAGTTTACGTAAAATATATATGCTCCAAAAAGCAGGTTCTTTTTTTGTCCCACCCGTGACAGAAGAAATAACTCAGATTTCCATATAAAAGCAATCTGGGATTTTTTCGTATTATGCTATAACTCATCTAATAGTCAATTAGGTGTGGCTTTATCAAAATTTAGAATTGTTGAGTACTTTATACTTAAATTTAAACAAGAAAAACCATTTTTTCTGTACAAATGTCACACTCGTTATGGTGGAACGCCCATATATATTAGAAAAATTCACAATCAAATTAATTTACCCGCAAACTACACGAAACCGAAGGGCATTTACATCCCTCCGCCAGGTAGTAAATACCGGAATTTCGATCAGCTAATTTAATTTTAGACTTGAAATCGTTGCCAGAATAATATATGAAAATTTTAGACTTAACTAAATAATAACAATTTCATGACTCTCATCACACGGTTGGGGTGTTCTGCCACGCTTTTATTACCGGCTGATCGCTCTGCAAATGTTATCCTGATATTTGTGGACTATCAGAGTCTCAGTGGATAAACTTGCAGCCTTACCTAAATAATAATTTTCGTCGTTGATTTTTACAAGTGAAGGCCATTCTGCCTCCCATTGCCACCCTGATTAGGGTCTAATTTCACGGATGACACCTCAAAATACCTCCCGTAAAAGCATAAACAGACGGCTCCGGATCAACTCCGGAATTAACTGTCTATTCTAACTATTCTAACTATTCCGATTTAGACTTGTGAGGTATCATTATTTCTTTACGAAAAAACTTTTTTTTTGCAACTTTTTTTTTTTCAAATGCCAACACATCTTAATTCAACTTGGAATGACGCTCGTTCATCCTACATTTCTCTTTAATACTTTGAATGAGTTTATTTGCAAAGGAATAAAAAAGGTGAGAAAACAACTTTCCAATGATACCTCATAAGTCTAAGGGTAAAAACATAGCGGAGCGGCGTGCAAAGCGAAGAGCTAGCATCGAGCAAAGCGCCAATTACAAACGTGTATTTACGCTTTGCTCTTCACTATGCGTTCTCCCATTGAAACATATGCGTTTGAAATCGATGTTTGCTCGACGCTCTTTGGCCGCCGCTCCACTATGTTTTGACCCTAAATCGGAATAGTTTTGGTACAGTCATTCAAGTTTTTCTTATACCAATCTTTGAAAAAAGAAATTAAAAAACCGCATCAAAGATCTCATTTTTACGATTCCGTTGAGAATTTTTTTAAATATTTTTATGCAGATTTTTTTTAAAGCTTAAACTGTTTTGTAATCTGAGGGGATTGTTTTTATGTTTATTCATAAAAAAACTTAATTTTTGGAAGTATTTTTAAATCGGTACGGCTCACGTAAATCTTAATATTTTCCCAATATATTTTGGTGCATGTTTTAAAATATAAAAGATTTTATAGTTCCAAAGAAACACAATACCGATTTTTTTTATATGGGGAGTGATGCAGTCTAATATACAGTAATAAAACTTTTCGCATTTTTTCACCAATTCGGCCCCGAGTAGTACTTTGGGTTTTGTGCAGCGTTTTCGCGCACGGCAACACTTACTTTGGTAAATTTCGCCTCATGATGAAAACAAGTTCTTTAGTTCAGTTTCGGTGGTAAAATATATAAAATTATTTGTTATTTAATAACAAAGTGTTAGTTATTTGTAATATCATAAATATAGTAGAGCCTCGAAAAAGTTAACCGAAATGTCCCAACCCAACAAACAAAAAGGGGACTTAGTTCTCAATATCGAGAAAGAGGTTAGATATCTAATCGTTTTCTAACGTTGAATTCTAATGTCTAGTGTTTTTCTAATAATTCTCTAATCGAATTCTAACATAGTTCTCGATTCGAGAACTACATTAGAATTCTAATGTAAAATCAAAATATTTCTCTAACGTCAGAGACTGCGTTTGCTGGGAAGGGTAATTAACTTTTTCGAACTCTTAACTTTTCTGAGCGGTTTTCAAAACTAAAAAAAAGTACAATAGGAAACATGGAGTTTTTGGGAAGTAACACGCTAAATGTATATAAATTACTTAGTTTTCATCGTTACACTTAGATTAAATTTGTACCAACATATTCTACACCATTTCCAGTGGGATTCTAGAAAAGGGCAATTGGATGTTAGGAGGAGTCAATCGGATGTTGGAATAGTCAATTGAATTTTAGAAAGCGAAAATTGGATTTTGAAATAGTCAACTGGATTTAAGATAGCGTAAATTGGATTTTAG